CGACAAAAACCCCATAACAAACTCGTTCACGTTTGACTCCGTCCCTCTTGTTCCCTCATGAATAATTCCTTTGGTCACCAGCTTCTTACTGCGTTCAACCTCGCAAGTTTAGGGGGCCTGAGCTCGATTGAACTAGACGGAAGTTCGTTTGCCCTCTAGCCGATTTTCTACCTTTACCCATTACTGTGACACCTTCTGAGGCTGCAACTGCCACTGAGGTTGCGCTGCTGCTCTCGCTATTGAGCCTATCGCAGACGATGAGACGCTGATAAGGATAACTCTACCTCGCTTCAACGCCCGACGCGGAGCATTGGAATTGGTTACACCAAAGCCCTTCGGCTTCTCCTGTTATAAAGTACTCCACTGCCTGTCGGTCAGGCGGTGCCATATCATTGGTGTAACAACCAGGACACCTTGTCGGGTTTCCGACATGACTGCTTAGCTGAGTCGCGACCGGCCACCAAACTACGATGACAGGATTCGGGGTACATCACTGATGTCATTAATGGGTCAGCGTCACTCAGTACGTAGAAGGTTTCATTTGTGGCTTCACGTTTCACTAGTGATCCCTCGTGGTAATAACCCTTCACTGGTAAGCGCTCTTTCAGTCTCTACCTCTTACTCTTCCGCTTCAATTTTCATATTGTATCTCTACCCACTTCTTGTTGATGGAAGATGATGTTCGCTTGTTATCTCCGGCCCACGAATAGTAGCGCTCACGCATGCGGGCGTCAACTAAAGTCATAGATGCTAAGCCAACTGATAGCTTTAAGACCACTACGATAACTGCCTCGTTTGGACGTGTGTGCCAGGTATCGACTAGATCCCTAGTCGAAAAACGGACTAGTATGACAGATTCATTCACAGAAAGTTCTTTTACCATATGTAAGGCTTTCGTATAACACAAAAACCTTGTATACGCCACTACACTATATAACCTTATATTTAGGGAAAATCTCAATTAATATAGTTCATAGTAACAATTGTTCTGATAGGCGATACACATTGCACTACAAATAATCTTACGGCAAGTCACGACCCTCCGTAGTTTCTTTATGTCGACTTATAATATCCACCATTTGCCTTCTTACCATTAAGTATATTAACATTGATTTTATTATCGTTTTCACCAAAATGATGTCCTACCTTGTCGGTGTTCGACTAGACCCAACTAAAACTGTCCTATTCCTGCCTAGCTGTCTTTTTCCTCTGTATTCGGATGCGCACCAAAAGCCACAATAAGGGCTTTCTACATATATGTGTGCACACTTTACGTCTTGATGGCGAAGTGTAGAGAAACGAGCAGAGGCAAACCCCACCGCTAACGCGGAGTTCGGTGACGGCATGATAAAATAACACGAAATACGGTACGGCGCGGCCGGAGTCGTTTTCAGCTCGTTTCTTGAAAGGTGTCATCTTCACTACCCCCGCTACTTCCCGCCGGCTCGCCATTACTCAGCTTAGTCATGACAAACAGAGAGTGAGCGTCCCTCTCGCATGAAGCACTCAGCGGCTTAGTTTGGTGGTGTCGACTCTTCGTATAACACGGATGAACCGTGGCACTATATTTTCTCTCGCTAGATCGTCCGGAGCCTGCTCAAAGGCTACGGTAGTTCCAATGGCATCCTTCTATAGCTAGGCCCCAGCCCAGGCTAGTGGTATCAGAGTTCGTTCTGATGACCCAGTTGTGCGAGCGAGCGCGAAGATATCCAATTAGGCAAACCGGCTAGCGGCGGCTGGGCGCGAGCTCAGTAATCAAATCCAACTCAGATGAACGTACTTTCACGATGGAAAACCGCTTTTGCTGTTGCAGAAGAAGGAGGAGAGCCGCGTCGTTGCTGGTACCAAAGACACTCCACGTTCGCCAAAGGACGCGTCATGGTGTTACCCTACAGCGAATAGAGAAAAGATCCCACTAGCGCTTGGACCAGTAGCAGCAGCAGCAGCACCACGGCAGAGACTACCGACATGAGCGAAACTCCGTTTAGAACGACGATCCTGAATCTGCCGTTGCTCTTGATGTGGCCACACATTAGTGCCATTATAACGGTTCAATTATACTGCAACGAGAGTGGTAAAAAGCGAATGCGATGGGCGGTCCTGCTTTTAATATAGTTGCCGACCTGTTAATTCATCACTGGTCGGTTCTCGGATCGTTTAAGTGATGAAGGAACAACTGCGCTAATCACAACTGTCGATTGTTACCATTATAGATGTTACCTAAAGTTAGAGATTTATGTCTATGATTTTTCAATTGTTAGGAGTATACCTGACGGTTTGATCGGAGTGACAGGACTCTGGTTGAGCTTTGCGGAGCCAATTTTCGTAGAACCAGCTTAGTCCTTTGAAATGTTTTATCTACAGGAGCAACACGTACGGTAAATCGTCTATAATAAACAAATGACAAATCTCATGTACAAGTACCTCAGAGTGCACAATCCGCTCATTTGAACGAATCTCGCATATGAGAAAAGCCCAGAAACTCTAAAATTTTCGGCTTTACACGAGTAAGATATGATTTACGGATAGGGACACCTAAAATAAAGCAACGAATCAAGCTGTGGTACTTACAGAGATTATGGTTGCTTGCTGTACGTGCAGAATACCTCTTCGTCTGCCGGCCGACTAAAAAGCGGTTACGTAACAGTTACACACAAAACAACAGTTCGAGCCCCTCTCTCGTTCTCCCTCTATTTGTCTTTATAATTCTGTTCTGTAAAATAGGTATCTGTTATTTTCCTGATTCTTTTAGTCACTATGGCAACTACCTCCACGACTATACTTAGCCTCCGTAGTTACTGTTGGATAATATAGCTTTTTCTCTTTTTCGCTCTTTCTCTGGCATTACCGCTCTGCGTTGCTGCCGCCCCCCCAAAATGTCGCGGAAGTCAGTACAGGACGGGACATTGAGGCCTGCATTCGATCTATCTGTCTCGTTCATGATTCGCCGACTTTAGCCTGCTTCCGTCGTCTCTTCCTTACGCTAAGCTTTCTCACACCCTTTATCTTCCCCTTCTTTCGTCTCTCTATCGTCTGCTGTGCGTTGCTTTCACATATAAGCCGTTATAAGAAGTGCCTCGTCCCCGTGGCGCCCGTAGTGAAGTGCTTCATACAGCCGTACGGCTGACGAGGATGTCGTGTCGCCCTATGGGAACAGGTTACGAGTACAGCTTGTTGTACATACAATTCAGTGCGGGGGTAGCTAGTTAGCGCGCACCTAGGACCTTCTGTGGCGCTTTGTGAGAGTGGAACAGAGAGAAAGGGAATCTTCGTTGAACGATGGCTCGGTCACAATATAGCTGGCTGTAATAGGCTGCGGCTGACGGAGGGGCCGGTTCCGTGTGAGCGGTTCCGGACGAACGACTGTTAAGGCTGTTCTTACAGGCGTGCTTGCTCAAGTATTAGTTGCAGTAACAGATGCACGACTTCGACAGGAAACGTTCGTTCTGCGGTTGTTCTCTTCGGAATAACGACATTTGCAGATATTTTGCTATGACAACTCCTGCCTGCAGTTCCAGTCTAAAAACGTTGAGATTTGCAAGTTTACTGGCATCGAGTACCTTAGTTTAAATTTATTTAAAAGTAAAGTAAAGCGTGTATAGACAAATAGTTAACGTAGTATCTTGAGTAGCGGTAGGGTGGTTACCAGCAGTATATTAGTTATAAAAACTTATTCTCCTATTATAAAGCTGACGGCGGGCACTCTTACTGCTGGACATAACACGAAATGTAGGGCGATACCTCTGTTGGTGAGAGATATTCATTTGTAGAAAAAACTATTGACCTAAACATATTAGTACGACTACCCGTTACGGATGTTAAGTAGACAGTATGCCTTCGCAGCGTCGCCGAACTGTGATACGTCGTCGTTTCGAAATTATTATTTGTTGTCAATAAATTTTATTATTTATTGTCAGTTTACCCATTGGTGAGTGACACAGCGCTCCTTGATAGCTAGCTAACTTGTGTTTAGGTTTAGCCATTCGCCTAAGAGCATAACTATTCGTCTACGCGAAGGTGCGACTGCGTTTAAACTCTCCCGGAGAATCAATAGAACGTATAACATTTTTTAGCGGCCACGTTCAGCATTGTCCCTAAAACTAGACATATACTAGCTAGGCACACTGTATTGAAAGAGGAACTTTCCTTTTTGGCACTGTCGCAATCAGCTTCACCGAATGCAACTTAGATTGAATCAAGTGGTCTACTAATTACCTAGCTAATCCGTTATCGAAACGGGAAGGCCATAGAATGTTGCCGGAAAACAGTTACCAAACAGACTCGTATGCCCAGCCGCGGAAATATCTTTAAGTACTTCGAATTTACGCAACATCGACCTCACTCCACCCAACTAGATATCTGAAGTCCGCTGATTTGAGGTAACGTCTTCTTTATCATATAAGCACTCTGTTGCATAAGTGACTCAGGCTGCAACCGAAATCAAGTATTCGCTTCGTATCGTCTTTCCCAACATTGAATCGTAACGTCAAAACGAAACATTCTCGTCTACTTAGGAAGAAAAGACAAAAGTTAGGAAAAATTTAGGACAAATTTTCCATTAATCTCAGCCTTAGAATGAGACATTTTTTACAAGATGCTTCCAGATAACCTTTATTTTATTTTCTGTGGACATACTACATATATATATATATATATATTTTGCCTTGTTACTGTGTCTTCTTGTTTGAAACATCGAACATGTGGGCCGTAGTACGGCTTTATCGATAAGATCAACAGAAAACAATAAAGGAGTTGTCTGCCTTATCTTATACGTGACTTAACGGCCTTCGTGTAAGAATGTAATTCGTTCATTGTTTTTACGTTTCAGCAGTCGAACACTTATTATAAACATGACAAACACGTGTATATATACATAGTTACGCCTTGTGAATAAAATATGTACAATCCGAAACCCAGATGAATAGAACGCGTCATTCTTGAACATAGTCAGAATCTTTATGGGCCATCAAAACTTGCCAGTGTGTAATTTCTACGTTCATTACGCCCAGACGTTTCTCCCTAATCGATGATATAGTTCATTAATGCGTTTGCCTTATTGTTACGTTTCGTCCTGTTTCAAATATGTACCCTTCCAATACTAAATGAAACTGTTTTTGAGCAATGTATCACTCAGTCGTCATAACTATCGAAAATAATTAAGCTTCTTGACAAATGCGCAAACGTCTGCCTGCGCTCGAACAACTGTATCAGCAACCTTCGAAACAAACTCCAGACAACGATAACAGCTGGCCGGCGTCGTCCGCTCTGCAAGCTTTCTCACAGACTGACAAAACAATACGTCGACGAACAAGTCAGTGATTCGATTGTCATCGGGAACGCATGAATCGGATGAATTGCTAATTTTTGAATACGCGCGGGCGCACAGTTTTGTCTGTTGTTCTGGGCCTTACAGCGACAATGCGACGGTGACGGTGACAGCTGACGACGCAAACGCGAGCAGGAATTTTCGAATAAAACAGTGTTTTCTATCACACCCGTGTGTAAACGGTATTGGCTACACTGTGTGCCTGTTCAACACTTGATAGCAAATAAACTATCGGGCGTGTTCACTAAATTCAAGCACCCTCAGCATATTGAGCGAACGCTCGAAACTGCCATTCCTATGGATTACCGCGGTGTAAAGGTCGATTGTATCCCCTTCCGCATTTAACATACATCGTATATATCATCGTCTACTGGCATTCCATAGGTAATATATAGACGTTGTCTATATAGGGTAGGAGAGAACGTAAAATTGCAGTCGAGTAGGGGCTACTTAGGTGGTATCGATAAAAGAGCCTCGGTGTCTGCATACTGATGAGATGCGGTGCTTTCCTTTCAAATGCACGTACATACTAAACATACATACGATGATCGTTCTACAAACACCACAATCAGTTCTCGAACACGTTCTGCCGCCGGCGACGTACACTGCGAAAATGAGTGTTTATCAATTAGATAAAAGAACTTCGCAGCCTTTCAAAGAAGAGACGTCGTTTCTACTGCAGCCGATTCCATAATGTAAATGTTTGAGCTGGGTCATGTGGACCGGTGTTTTCGATACGATAGCGTGGTAAATCTCATTCAGGTTAATTCGCAGAGTGCGTTAAGCTGGAACGACAATTAAGCTTTTGAATGGCGGTGCCACTGCTATATCGCTTTTGCAACTATTACAGTTACCGGTTTGCTATCCTTTGTTTGCTAAACGTTTGATACAATTAGATTAAGATGAAGTATTGAAACTACGGTACTTTTTTGGTCATCCACGTTTGGTAGATAAAGAACCTGTATTGGGTTCGGCGTATTTTTTCTGTCTGCAATGAACGAGGGCAAGACCCGTTCTCTGATAGGCTACGAGCCAGTTAAAATCGTTCCATCTAAATAGCTATCTTTCACATATGGTAAACTGTTGTAGGAGGCGTCGCGTTTTAGCCGGCATAATTGACTCACTGTACAGTTGATTGTTGCATGTGGGCCCATTATCTTAAAATACTTCTAGCCAATGGGGAGTGGCAAAGTTAAAACTATACGAAATTTTTTGCGCCATAGACAACTTACGTGCGTCTGCCGGTAGCTAATTCTGCAACCTAGAACGATTCATCAGCCACTTTGTATGTATAGACATTTAGATCAGGCTAGGAATTTGCAGGTAATTTTTGAAGACTGCATGACCAACGACAGACATTTCGGGGTGCGTGACGTAATAAGGCTTGCACGCCTTCATGACTTCATTTTCTGTAATTAGCTATGTGACTAAAGCCGGTCTAATAGGCAACAAGCAGGACTACTAGCGATAGATGACCCTCCTTTGTGTAACTAATTTTTAAACGAGTTTGTAGGTTAAAAAAGCGAGAACTTAAGGGTTTTATGTTAAAATGCATTTTTCAATTAACATAAGAAGTTTAGCGTAACCGCAGAAGTGTCTGTTATATATGCTTCTAAAGGAAACATTGTCAAAGTAATACATGTTTTTGCAATCTAGATATATTTCTATAATGCAAGTCATTGAGGATATGCGTCGCTCTAAAGATCGTCGAGTTAAAGGGAGGCTATAAAAATAACATTTGTCTTGAACATACAAATATAAAACCAATATTTCATTCATTCCTCGCCTCCTGCAACTGGACAACACAGAATCCTTGGTGCATCCAGACATTTGAAACTAAGTGGCCTGCTTCAGGACGGATAGGATCATCTTGGCATTCAATGGTGCTAGCCGTTTCGATCAGGAAATGTTTTTGTTGGCTTTCTCGAATCGTGATGTATAGCAATCACAAGCGTCTTTAAAATGCTCGACTGACTGTCACCATCGAAAGCGGATTGTTCAAGATATATTACATATTTTTACTAATTTTTAACCCTTCTACAAACATCGAAAAGTCACCACTTAAAGGGCGTACAAATATTTAAACGAACGTTTTCCTTGAGAGATAACAAAATGTATAGAACTGAGGTCGGATAAATCACTGCACCGCATGGCGCGCCAAATATTCAAAAATCGGCAAAATACTTCCAAAAACGTGACCAGGGCTCCTTTCGAGGAAATTTCGTCTTTAATCATTCGACTCATGACGATAGTTGTAACCCGTAATGTACTTTAAAGTTGTTATCTATGAACAGCAGTTAACTGCAGATATTGTACTTTCGGTTACCTAATGTAATATAGGAATATAAATAAGACGACAGGACCACTTATCAAAATCTGCCAGCACCTCTGACAGAGTTGAACAAAAATTATCCTAACTATCTAATTATAAATCTTTATTATGTTGTATGAAATAGTATGATGTTAGAGGCCGTCTATCTGCGGAGCTGAACCAAATTATAGTTTGCTTTTTATTCCTAAAACTACTCACATCGTGTAATATATAGACACACGTTTCAGGAACTTGCTTCAGTTAGGTTTTTCCTTAAATAGGCACATCGTGGTAACTATCCTTGTCACACTGCTAGCTGACTGATATTTCAAGTAACTTCTTGCCATACCATCACTTCCACCATTTACAATGCACTGAAAAGAGCTGCAGTACCCGAAGCGAGTTTATACACCCTCTTCGTATTAGGAAAACTACTTCAAAATGTAGAGATAAAAGAAATCCTTTGCTGCTTATTGTCAGCTCAGTTATACAAGGGTACAAAGCCAGGCTATTTATACAAGCTCTGTACTAAGATATAAATTCGCCATAAAGGGCATGTGTTCAGCATAAATTCCATCTACCAAAACATTCACAACTCGAAAGAGTTGTGAATGTTTTGATACACCTGCGATCGGGCGTCGCTCAAATCCACGTGGTATTCTTGCTGGATACCTGTATGTACAGAAGTTCATATCACAAGGGAGTGTGTCCTGGTTATCTGCTCTGTGTTACTCAGACTCTGGTCTTCATCAAATGATCTGTTGTAACGCCTGCCACCGAGAAGGCTTTGGACTCAATTTCAATCTACCTTAAATCAATTTCCATCCTTGTAAGGCAGTGAAAGTAGGTCCTATAAAGAGAGATCAACGGCGATGTCCTAGTTTACTTGAGGGAGCTGTATCTAATCTCTGCAGGTTATTATAGATGATTAAACATGTAAGTCGGTCAGTATGCCGGCGTATTCTTAGCACAACGTAGGTAATACGATGCTTGCCAGAGTACTTCAAATCATACGGATATATAAAGATTCCATAAAGATCATAAAATCTTTTATTCCAGGTACCGGTGTTTCAATGGTCGAAGAACTAGGTTGAACCTAACGCTGTAAGTAACGTTGCTCACAATATAAACCCATTCTGCGCATTGCGTCTTGTCGATGTTTTTTGACATTTTCAACAAGAATAAGATCATACAAAATAAATCTTAGTTTCTGTTCCAATCTCACAAATCTCTGCTTATAAATCCAACTGGTATAAATAATCATCACAGATGAATTCATTCTCGAACTCAGTATGTACAACTTCAACTCAAACATCCGACTATAATCTTTTTGTATATACAGATACGATTCAACGATGTTTAAGTTCAAGTTTGCTTCACTTCAGGCAATTAATGCCAGTTGTTTTTCTTAACATATTTGAGGCTTCATATGCTGGAATTCATATTGGAATATACTTAATAAGAGCTTCAATTGATAGTTAATATCGGCTACTCACTTTATAAAATGTAAGTGATTTTTATAAGTAATCTACCTTTTATAACATTTTATTACCACGATACACGTAATTTGTACGTTTGAGGTAATTTCCTCCGAAATATAAAACTAAAGAAACCAGCAAATTTCATGGATTGTTACTTTTGCTCTTATATATATTTGTGTGTGCTCGTTAACAGTTCAATGTTCGTCCAAAAGCAGTGGCCGACTGGCAGAGTTTTTTTTTGAGGAAAACATCGCGGATTTAGACACGAGACGCTTCTCCGTTGTCTTCCCCTCAGACAAGTCTGTTCCATCAACTGGGTCCTTCGCTCCTACAAAGTTTGCTTCGTAATCTTCTTTCCACCCGTAGGCGCCTACAAGTTTGGCGGGCGTCTTTAGGCGACGTCTTTGGGGTCGCTTCTCATTCTATGCCACCGTTGTGTTTTATCTTCGTGGTTCATCTCTCATTCCGATACGACCATTCTTCACATCGGCGGGTTGATGCGGTTCTTCAAAAGAAAATGGGAACATCAAAAGACTCGCCACCATCACCAATAACAACAGCGATAACAGTTCCATAGCCTACTCTGTTTCCCTTTTTTTTTCTATCTTGGAATGCCCCTTCCCTTTGCTCTCGGTTTTTCAGTCGCAACCTCTTGTGCAAGCTTTTCATTGTCTGTCTATTACATACATTAGAGATATGTATGCCTCTATACACGTATCTAGTTGTCTATAATATCGAACTATTGCGGTACGTAGACCCATTGGTTCGGGTAGCTGGTGGTAGGGCTTTTCTCTTCTGTAAATATCTTCCCCGTCCATACCTCTCTTTCTCTTTTGCTATTCGCTTTTTTCTTCCTTTCTCTTATGCATAGTCAACCCGTCTGTTCCAAGTTGGAAGCCCATCGAAACTCCGCCACAAGTTTGCTTTTTGCAGCCTCATTCCACGAGGCACGTGACCGTGCCTGCGGATGGCATTCTTCCAGCCTGCTATTATTACTGCTACCACTAGTACTCTTGTCGTTACCGTCTCGGCCGACGCGCAAGCTACAACGATGGCCGACTTGTATGCTCCTTGGATTGCGAGTCCACTGGGCCGTGTAACCGCCCCATTAAAGGAGCGACTGGACCGAACCAAACCTCAGTCCCATGGCCGGCCATCAGCTAGATCTGAGCAGGATAGAGTACTAAGGCCACGTTATCCTCATTTTCATCCTCGTGCTCATACTCCGACCACCGCGAGGCTTCGCATCCTACCCTTAGGACATCCCGGATGACACGAGCAAGTCGCTCGTATTCTTGCTTTATTCAGCGGCAAGAAGAACTGCGGAAGAGAAGATAGAAGCGGAATGTAAGTTACTTCTTGGAACACGTTGTCGTCCAAGTCTTAGCGCCCCTTCTGTGCCCACACGAGTTTCCTACGCAGTCACCTTAGTCAAGGCTGGCGCCTTTTCTGGAGCGGACAAATAACAGCACCTAGAAGGAAGTGGCAAATTGAAAAAGCCTATTAGCATTTTATGGTATTATTCAGTTGTGTAATTATATTGTATTTATTCGCTGAATATGTCGCTATTAGACTTGTGATAATAACGTGCTGTAAAATATGATGTATTCATAGGAAGACATGAACAAGAAAAAGAGATACCTTTGAAGGGCATATTGTTTCTTCTACTTATTATATCTTTCAAGTGGCTCTTGTCGAACTTGCAAGGGAGGATATTTAAATATAATTACTACGTACCCAGTATTGGTTGTTTCTGACCTTGTCAGTGTATTACCTGTCCCAGTGAATGACCAATAGGAAAGCGCGTAATCAATGTTTGTTGTATGTCGTTATGGATTGGCGTGAAAAATTTTAGGGTGATTTTCTAATAAATCAGATGCCTTAGAATGGGGTCATTTGTAAATAATGGGATGGATAGGGACTAATAGCTGGTTTGCCATTGCAACATGTTAAGCAACATGTTTCGCCGAAACCTTTCTGACCGAAAATATTTGCGTCTACCGATCACGTCTATCACTCCGTTCATGGTCGATAACTTTTTGTACATTTTTTATTTGTCCTCGCGTCCAACTCTCCTCATTCAAGCGATATTGCCATGTTGCTTTGTTTTCTTTCGAAATTTCGCTCTCAGTTAAAACTTCCCTTGGGCCAAAGCGAAGTTTACAGTGGTTTAAGAAACCACGGAAAATCGCCTTTCTAATAAAAGATAACCGAAATTAAGTTAATGTTATAACTATGAAGCCTTTGGTGTAATAAAGCAGTCCGTACACTAGAATAACTATAACTGACCCCGAATGTGAGTATGTTAGTGAAGCGTTCCCTATCCAGTTTTACGAAAAAGTCAGGACCAGGGGAAGCAGGGCGCCGAAAAAGCCACCGACGAAGATAAAGATTTTACCAAAGCAACGAATAATCGACCTTTACGTATGGTAAAAGGAAAGTGAGTGTTGCGTAAACTAAAGATGGGTTGATAACTAGGCCAGTGTTAGTTATAAATGTAAACTTGTTCCTTTTTAAGACTAGAATCTCACGTCTTCACGTTCTTTTCACAGAAAAATACATTCTATCTAACTTACAGCAAATATGAATCGGTTCGTATAAAGTTTATAAAATACTAATTTACGAAAAAATCTGTATTATTTTATGAAATTCTTTTTCTTCGTCGTCTCTAACCGATACCACGACCGCGTCCATTTACGCCAGTTAGTGGGGTAAATTGGGACAATAACAAAACCTCACATTCCACGACTTCGTCATAGGACGTGACGGCAGTCAGGAGAACGGGTGGGATAATCAAATTTTATAAAGGATCTTGAATTTGGTAACAAACAAAGATATTATGCCAACTGTAGAGAAACTACAGAACTATTTTATTTCACTGTGTGACGGTAAAATTTGATACTAATAATTACCCTTCGAAGATGAACCGCAACTAACATCCGCTATTTTCTGCAAGTACAATCAATACCTTCAGAGTTATATATGTCTTAGTATTCTATACTGATAGACGTTTATAAACTCAATGACTAAATGCTATTCCAGCTCGATTAGCAATTATAGATTCTTAGCAAAGTAAGGCGATTTTCATACGTAGCAGTGTACGCAATGGAAAAAAGACGTCAATGCTCTACGTGGATTAGTACATCTGTGACAAAAATAAAACGCTACTGCTTATAATGTCTAGGTTGTTTCCTCCAACAGAATACTACTTGTTGTAAACCGGTCTACCGTTGATAAATTTAAGTAGAAAGCTATTCCGAAGATGTACAAATTTCTTTACAATACACCACCTGCATTTGCATAGAAGAACATCATTTTATAACCAGCGCTAGATTTCCAATTGAGATGTTGAACATCCATTCGCTCTAGGCTACGGTCATTATCGAGTCATAGGTGTCAAATAGAAGGCCTTCAAGGCAGTAATAGGACATGTGCGCAGAGTTCACCAACTTTTCTAAAATGCCCTATGTGCACAAAAAAGAGGATGGATGATCCTTCTAGACTTTTACGAGTGTGCGGAAAACACTTTAAGCACAAATATATTACACAATACTACACGTTTCCGTTGAGCAAGCTTGTTTGATATAATTGTCTTATTTTCTCCGCTGCTATAAAGATGAATTTAAAAATAACGTCTATTTTAGCTATTCAAAAGCACTGTTATAAGTTTGATATCGGAACAAGCACCGAATAGCATCATCACAGACGTACAATTGACGTTTTTGTATGATGTCTCTTGTAAATGATGATAATTGGGTCTGTGTGCTTTAAAGGTAACAGTACCTTCGGAATCTTTGCTAGTCCGTCGTAAGATACGAGAGACGTGCGTTACGACGACAAAATTTTATTGGGTGTTTTCCATTTGAAGCAACCACAGGCATATTAGTCCGGTGCAGAAAGACACAAGGAACTTTCAATGACAAGATGTTGGATTGGAAACTAATTTATGTGACTAACTAATGTTAATTAATCCGTATGTAGTTACCAAAATTCTTGTTATCCAGTGGATCGAACTGCTAGTTTGATTGAAATGCTTGTCCACTCTTAGGGTTCTCGTTAGCCACGTACTCATTGGTAGGCTTCATAGGCCAGGCATAATAGGCTCTTATGTTGCATTGTATCACAACTGAGACAAAGGATTATCTGGAAGCAGCGCTTTGTCCAAAGGTTGATTTTGATCGTACACATGACCCTTATATACACATAAGATGTATCAATACAGCCGTAGAAAATAATTGTACAACCTATCGGCAAATTTCGTTGGTGATTCTTGAATGCCAGTCTTCTTTCTGCAAAAGACTGGAGACACGCCGCTTGTCCGGACGTTGCCTAAGGCACCGATCAATGTCCTACGAGGCTAATTCATGCTCTACAATGGATGGCTATTTTTTTAAGGAAGTTACCGGCGTCGTATAAAGTACCGAGATATGATCGATTGCCTCATTCACGTCGTCGACACTTAATAACAGCGATCCCGATTTGTTTACTAGGTAAGCAAACGGACCTTCTGCACTTCATTTTCTAAGCATTCGGGGCAAACAATACCAATTTAGCCGTCCATTGATCGCGTCATGTTGCGTAATTGTATATCTAAATTGCTGTACGTAGAGTAACAAACATACAAGACTTAATCTGTCATTTTTATGATAGGGCCCGATATGCGTTTCACTTATATATCTATACTAGCAAATCTGATTACACGCCCAGTTCTATATCTATGTTTTGTGTTTTCCGTTCGGTACCGCCGTTAAGCGTTCCGTTAGCCGGCTGACTCTCAGCATGACACGAATTTATCCATCTAGACTACATCGAATCTAGACCATAACGTGCTCCTAGAATTAGCAGGCAAATACGTTACCCACTAGGCTATTACGGGGACATATATACCAGAACTAACTGGAAAAATCCGTCGCCCTAGGCAATCACAATAGAAAAAAGGATGTCTGAAGTACGAGACGGGTCCAGTGTGGTTCCCTCATTTTGATTTTGTTTACGTATCGCCTTAGTAAAAAGATCAGATAGCCTGCAATTGATGAAGAAATGTATAAAAAGTTGATAAATCTGTTCGGTGATAAATATATAGGCGAACACATGTCTAGTAAAATGCTAAACATGATCCTGATTTGTTATATGACAAAGGTCGTGGAGGATATGTGTGTCGTTGGTGAAACTTCAGGAAGTAACCTTTTTTAGCCACAAACTCTACTTCTCATAGCAGAATCTTTCGATCGTGTTAGGTTCGAAGTGGATTCAGTGAATATATATTGGATGAGACAACTGGAGGAAAGCAAGATGTTATATATACATTGTTACGGTATGTTAGTAGCTCGATAACTGTAGAAAACTTTAGACGCCTTATTTTAATATATATTTTTTCAGCGGTGTCTGAAGACTCAGTCGTAGATAATATTGTAATTTAAGTAATCGTGTGTATTATTAACTTATTATATAACTTTTCACCTGTAAGTCTGCTTCTTGGCCGGGCCCGACTTGTCTTTTATTCTAGTTTTTCTAGGATAAGCGCTAGATTAAAAGCCTACTTATTACTTTCAACGAAACTCATTCATTAATGTCGATTGGTTCAACTTATCATTCTACTTGGGTGATTTCGCCTATGTATTACGACCAGTTGATCGTTGAATGATAAGGTTTCCACACGGCGCCACAGGTAAGCTTTTGAGTGCGCAGACTTGAGAGTTTATCTGCTTCAAGTTACTAGCATCAAGCTTATGGGATTAAGAATAGGCAAATCGTTGGAAAATAAATCGATGCCTTATATTCAATTCATAGAATAGTATGCAAGCATTTTCTTAGAGATACTTTCACTCCAACCTGAAACCTAAAAAAAGACCCTAATTTTCTGTGACTTTCGTGGTCCATTAAGTCAGGAATTACCTGTGACTCCTGTTTCACATAAATGTAAATGTACGCTTCAACGAAGCCCCAAAACCTGTTCCTTCTGACAATATTTTATGACTTAAGCTTTTTTTGCAATCTTTGAGTGTAGATCGTCTCTGTGAGGACACAGATTGTCCATTATGGAATAAACGCTGATATCTTGCCTATGATGATACGACTGATGGACATCGTAACTTCAGTACACCCCTTCGCACAAAGGTGGCATGTGAATTCAACCTGCCGATATTTTTGCTCGACAACTCATGCTACAGAACCTTTAGTCACTTAAGACTTAGCTTAAAGCTGATCGATTTTAACAACCAACTCAGTAATGCAATGTCAATCTGGAAGTTTGTATTCGATTCTAACAGAAGGACGTGCGCAGACTTCAGCTTCCCGGCGGACGACAAAACGTTTGAATTTTTTTAACTGCTTCTCGGGCTACCAACTTAACTACTCCCTTAATTAGTCACTTGTTCATGATAAAGTGACAGATGTTTTCTATAGAAAGCAGATAGCTAGGGAGCAACTAGACTCGGCCAAATAAGTATATGTTAAGGGTTCACGTATACGTTAAAGCATGTTGGATAGCTTTACCTTTCTACGTTTAGCTTAAAACCACTTCTTTGCCCTGAGTTCAGAGCATCGCTGTTTGTTTGCTTGCGTGATACAACATGATATACTTTCTCCCGTGGTCAGAGGTCAACGGCCTTAAGGACGAATACTGCGAGGCAGCGATATGCTAAGACAGTGCAGGTACAATGTCAGATCTATGTTGAAAAAATATTTTAACATTGACCTGGTTCCAACAAGTCGTTTGTAAACTTTGTGGCTCAATATAGGTATCCTCCAAACATAGAAATGCATCGAAACTTTTCCTAGCAATCGACCAGAGGAATTTTCTTGACCAACAAAAAAGAAACCAAGCAAACTCAAGTACCACTTTGCAATCTAAGGTAGTCCCAACAAGGTTAGTTAATACCGTCCGTTCGAGCTCCTCTTTGTGCACAATGGTCATACGAACGAACGATGTGCGATGCTATTGACACGTATAAATTGTCGTTGATCTTGCAAGCGCTACATGTAGGATCTCACTCGGGAGCGATACTATCACTTTCCTGTCACATTACTGGAGTCGTTATCGTCTAATTGAGCGCTTTAACATTGGTTAGTTTCAGACGTCCCTTCTTTCCCCATCCCCCCGAACCATATTCCTCTCGCCACTCGACTTGTTTAGCTGGGCTGGTCATGAGACAGAAGGATATAAATAATTGCGGATGGAGGAAAAGTCTTTAACAGGGTACCAACTCCGAGGGGAAAAAGTTCATTTTAGTTTGGCCGGAGGCAACAGAAATTTAATTTGGCGTGTCTCATTTGAGACACGTTTGCTCGTTCAGCACCCATTCGTCGATGCTGTTTTCAGATCGGGGCCGCGAGAGGTAGAAATGCTACTTAGGGGGGATGCCCCCTACGGGCTATAGCACTGCACATCCCGACATTGCCGCTTATAGCCACTGGTAGCTGCCGCCCTGGCACCTACATCCATGGATCCAGCGACGTCGTCCACGCCATCGGCTCCATCGCGGCAATTACAAGTTTCTCAATGCCCCGGGCTACTCTGACTGGCCCCCTCCGAGCTAAGCTCTGGCAAACACAGTTGAACGCAGCAGCTCAACCAACAAAGACTTAGAGGATTCAAAATAGAAAGAACAAGCGAGGTAGTTCCCTGTGCGTCTGCTATTAAACGTTTCTACTACGTTTTTCATACCAGCATTTGAGAGGTTATCCGTTGGAGTAGCAGAAGTAAGAGCCACCAACTCGGAGTTGGCTCTCTATCACCCAAGCGCACCCATCCGTTCACTTTTCCAAACGCTCCTCCAGAGTCAAATTGTGTATCCATTCGAATGGCAACGAAAAACCTAAGCAGGACCAAAAAACGGTACAGGAAACGAAGCGTCAGTAGTGCCCATCTTCACACATCACAACAGATGACTCTCGACAATGTTCTACTTGCTTTGCAGCTTACGGGCATGTCTCACAATATGCCAGCTTCATCAACTCCGTAATACGTAGGAAACGTCCTACGTATGGTCGTCATTTGCAGAACCCATTTACATTATAGCCGACGCGTTTTCATCGTAGCTTTCCTGTAGCTGCACCCAATCGGAAGAAGTTGCTGAGGAAAAGAGAATCAGCAAGCTTGGAAGTTGCCTGACGAATGTTCTGAGGAGAAGACTGTCTGGCAACAATATAGGGATAAAGTGGTAAGTCTTTGTTAATTCTTCAACGAGTTACTAGTCCTAGTTTCGGCTAAGACCTATGGATCTCGGAGTAAGGCTACCTCGTACATGTCCTATCGCCGGACCTTGTTTGTTGTATTTGCTATGAAGAGCAGAGAAATATACGCTGTAGAAGAAGAAAGTAGGAGAATTTTATATATATATCGGGCAATGTTGACATAGAGGAACAGTTTCGGCGATAGTCGAAACGTCCAAATGCAAGGTGGGGGTAATGTTCTACAAAGTAATTGTAGAGCTTGCGACCTATTTGTAACTAAACGCTTATAAATCGGACTAAATGCGAATGTATGTTAATGATGGGTGACCTTAGAAACGTCGACTCGCTTTGCCGACCTGGTTTCGGTTTTTAGTTACAATTAAAGGCCTGAACTATGCGACGAATGAGAGCTTTTGATCAAAGACGCACTTGGCCTAGATTGAAGCACCGAGAACGTTTGTTCGTTTTCAAAGACATTTAGATTGTCAATCTCAAATATAATAATAATAATGGTCACTAATGAAAATGCAAATTCCTGTGAGAAAGACCAGTAAATAACGTTTATTATATACCCTCGACTCGTTTACATATGTATTTTCTTTACAAAGACTTCTTTTTTGTGTCTATTTACAGCGGATGGAGGCACCAAACGAGCAGTAGCAATGAGGTTACAGTTTCGCCCTGGCTTGGTACTGATGACGATGGCGATTGTGCCCCAGACGTAACAGCGGCTGACCAAACACGCCAAAACGGCTCGTGATTCTGCCCCTCGACTGTATTTTCGTAGTCCGTATTAGACAAGGGCGATTCTGCAAAGAAAAACGAACACGATGAAAATTTATTTTAAACCGGAAGCCTTAATATTCTGACAACGTAAGCTTTCGTGAAGTTTAGTTAGAAGGAGAATACAAAACAGGGAAATTTGTATCGAGCAGCTCTATAAAGAAGGCTCCGCAAGGTACTTACTAACACAGCTACACTTCATCCTGTTTTTCAAATTTATTATTGAGTTTACGTATCTGAGAAATAAGCTACGTAAATTCAGAACAGTTGTACTAGGATCTTATTGTTAAGGAATCCGTCGAAAGGACTTTACGCGGCGTCTTAGCGCCTTGCTATTTCAGAACACTTACCATTCAGAATGCGTACACTCCTTTGAAAAACGTGGTCTAACGCAAGTTTCGGTAGTCCGTGACTATTTGGCAAGTTTGCAATATTAAATGATCTTTGTAGACGATTATAACTAATTTCGCAAACGAACGTCCGACTAGTATCAATTTCCAAATGTTTTACGTCCTCAGCACCCAGTCTTGCTATAGCTTCCAGGCGAACCAGTCGTCCGTGGTTTCCAGAAATCATGCGAGTTCGCAGTCCTTGTAAAGGCTCAAATGGATTTGTCTGAGATGTTTCACCGTTTATAGGTATCTGCGATGATCGCGAAAGTTTGCTTGTTAAATTCAGGTCCATCCGGTGCCCAAGAGGCATTTGCCACATGTCGTAATCTTGGCGAAACAGTTTAATTGCAATAGACGTCGGCTCTTCGCTTGTCCACGCCCCGCATCGAAGCTGACGCAATGCTAGACTGAGGTGAAGCTCAAAGTCTACCGGGGCATCTGAAAATCACAAAAATCATTCCGCTGCCTCTCAGTCGACCCTATCCTTTGATTTGTTCACATGCATTAACAAGGTAACTCCCCCACTGGATAATCAATAGCATGCAGGTATCTAAAATAATATAATGAATAACATACAATGTGCGATCGTGAACGTACCGTAGATAAGCAGCTCATGCGTAGCCGTCTGCTCTTCGTGTTCTTCGACTTCATTTTCTTCGACATCATCACTTTCTACTTCGCAGCTGAATTTACCAGACAACTCCTTCACCGGTCGGATAATTCTCACTGCACGGAACATATTTGCTGGTTGATCGCTGTGCTTGTACAACGGATCCAGTAAATCTACATACATTTAACCACACCAAAAGTTAAGAAGAAATTAGGTCGTTTGTAAAATCTGCAGATCATCGTCAAGCCCTTAAAATATTTAGAAAAATGTATCGAGCCAATCAATTTAGACCGTAGTTTACTTAGTTAATTTAAGCAGCTGACCATTTGAGCTCAACCGCTTGAAAAAGTTTTCTTCGAGCTATTTTCCGAAAATTGGAATCATAGTGCTACCTTCTCTGGAAATTGAGTATTTTTCAAAATTTTTTAGGCACTGAATAAAAATTCTACAAAATTAACTACGGTTTATTCAGTTTAGAATGTGCCAATCAGAATCCACTTTTGCACTTTAATTTTAAATGCAGCTTGTACACACCTGGTTGCAATGGAAGTAGTTTTTTCTTGACCTGGCAGTCAAATTATTGGGTCATATCCTGACGATGGTCACATATTTGACGTTTAGTTGCTTCATATTAAAAAAAACGAGTCAAGTCATACGGACAGTGATTTCTTTGGTATAACCCCTTAACACGATACTATATCTGACGGTTAATGACTAACGTTATGGACTCGTTATACGTTCTAACATGCTATTCTATCGATTTCGAGGTTTCGTTTGACATACGATCCAGTTTGCTCTGTGACGACGTCCTCAGTCGTGCGTATTTGCAATAGTCATTACCTCTCAGCTATATTAACGATATTATTTTTCTTAAATCCACCCTCTATTAAAGCGCTGCAGGTACACAACTAAAACAGACCAACCTTTGTATGCATGATGGAACAGTCTTGATCGAGCTGCCGGTATCCATTGGTAAAATGGGGTAGATTCTGCATTTCGAAACCACTTTACAACCCGTGGAACTACTGAACGGTTTTCACTATTCGTTCGTTTTTTATCCAGGCTAGAAAAAGGCGTCGAGTCTGACACGTTGGTAACATTGCCCCCCTTCTGTCGGACGCTGGAAACGATTTGTCTGGGACTGGTGACAGTGCTCACGGCCAATGCGGACAGCGGGGAAAGCGTCATCGATTCGCTGACGTTCTTGAGGGTGCTATTGTCGTGCCCGCCTGAGGGCACGAGCTCGTAGACGCAATCGAGTACAAAAGATGACTTCAGAGCGGGGACCCCGTCCACTATACCGCCGACATTCGACGGAATCACCGTTGGGGACGCTTTATTCGAAATAGTGAAACCATCCGCCGTCAAAACTGCGATGCCCCGAACAACTACACGACCTGAAAAACATGCACCCACATAGAAATAGGTATATGACAAAAAAGCCGGGCGCTCGCTAGAGCCTCATAGTCGTGTGTCAGACACATAGTCAACCACATCCTCGTTGTACTTTCAGATCCCGTTCCCACACTTACGTTGTTGTATGTAGATTACTCTCGCAGATCGCAAGTGCATCGTGGTCATACCAGCACAAATTAAGATGAGCCATGCTCAAACAATATTTATCTGCATAAAGCTTGCCTTGATAAAAGACTTGAGTGAGATAACTGTGAATACATTATTCAAAGAGCTTTGCTGTTACATCGAAGTGCTATTGCATATTATAAAACTTTTTAAGGAGTACGTCTTTATTTAAATGGGCTCTGCTGTTTTACATGGGCAGTCACTGGTGGCATGTACATGATTATACTACACACATAAGTGACAAAAAGGAAAGCATCTGAGTTGGATCTTATCGATGCCGTATCTCTTTTAGGGCACTGAAACACCTGTTTTCGACACGTGTAAACGAATTTTCACCACGCGTAATGCAAGGATCTCAATTCAGTAGTGCAATGGTTTTGTATTAGTTTTTACGTTAATGTATAGTGGAATCCTTACCTACCGGCATAAGAGTTGCCGGTTACGCATACTTGGTCTTTGTTTTGGATTTTTAGTTCATTCACTTGTCTGCTGTACTACTCATGAAGAAGGGCCACTCTGATGGATGCTGAACGAGCTCTTCCGGCGGAACTGAAACCCATACTTAAACAGCATGACCCGATTGGGTCCGTCGTGAAATGGGTAACATATGATTTCAATTTAACCGAGTAAATTTTCATCGGTGTCAACATTGAAAAAATGAAAGATAGCTACTTCACCTATATCTGGGCTAGCAAAATAAGAAACCCCGACACTCACCAATCACATAAATGTTTCACAGTTTTACCGGAGAAAGGCAAACATCTCGCCTCACCAGAGCCCATAAAGGAAACTACAGCTTTGTTTGCAAATATAGTTACACTCTACGTAAATACTCGACCATATCTTGAGCAAAACACTACCGATTAGCAGTAAAAAAAAAACAACAAACAAAGTTCATGTCATACAAAAAGCCGACTTTATTACCGATTTCCGAGTATGCCACAGGAAGCGGCCGTCACGTTAAAAGTGACCATACCCTTGATATATTGTACATGAAGAAACCTCGTACTTGAAGTGTGAACATGTCTCTTTCGATTTCAAGCGAAATTAGGTAACGTGTCAACGTTTGAAAGAAGTCATGCTTACGGTGTTAATACTATATATTCATTTAAGGTAAAGATTCAGGCACAATGTTTGGTTTATACCTTTCCCACGTCGAAGCAGAACACTTTTAGATCGAAGCAAACGAGCGATACGCTGAATCGAGAAGAAGCCCCGCAGTATCCCGTCTGTCTTATCTATATAACTTAGCCTTAAATGCAGCTCCATTGCTTATTATTGCCGCAGTATTTCCCGTCAGAGATAATAAGCAATTATCCGCTTATGCCTCCTTACAACATCGAAGTAGGCTATTAGTGAAGTTAATTTTTTGTCTGACCCTAATACTGTTCATGACGATCGATGACGATGTACCGGCCATTAGTTACAAGCTCTGCTTGAAACAGCAGTATAGTTCCAGAACGGATTAATAAAGAGGTAATACCATTTAGCAGAATCTGAGGCTAAGGCAAGTGAGACCTGTTCGTATTTTCTTAATTTTCGAGTCTGCAGCGATTTCACGGCTTGCCTGAACGGCATTTCGCAAACCATCACCCGTTCGCCTCTTGGAGTACAATGGGTCGTGGAATCACCTTCGCTGGTCTTGGCAATTCGCTCAAGTCGTCTCGTAACAGAAAAAAGGAATGGTAGCCAGCAGTGGTATTTATGCTCCATCAACTCCCGTCTAAGTAAATCGAGCGAGCCAAAACTGAAATTCTTCCAAAACCTTATTCTTTAGCTGTCCTCCTTCGAAATGGCGCTATCCTTTGAGATGACAAATGGAGTTCCCATGATTTCGCCCGGTTGCCCGGCAACCAGGCGGCCGGCCAAGCTCCTCCATCGACTTGGCACCTATTTTCGCGGCTCAGATAAGAAAGTCTTCACACATCGACCGATAGAGTGTAGGGGAACGCGCAGGTCTCGGGAAGTAACTCGGTTCCACAAACGCCTTTGCCCGACATTAAGTGAACGGGGCAAGTCGATGCCGACGCAATAGCTTCGATCAACGGCACCACCGTCTCGTAGCTACATCACACGACAAGATACAAACCCAACGGTTTGGCGTCTCGCAATGATAGCAAGTAGAGGGAAAAGAGTTGACTCTTGGATGTACAGAAATCGGAGAAACTAGGTTATCACATTTAGAAGAAACGGTTATTCGAAAACCTCTTTGTTCAGTTTAGCCGGAACTAAAGCCGCTTTTGTTGCTTTGCCTTGTTACAGGCTCTCTCTAAGATTTTCGAGGGTAGAAATCCAAATTCTTGCGTTAAACTACTGCATAGAAAAACGTTGTTAAGCATTCTACTTTTCGGCATAAGGAAACGGAACGATACGAGTTCTAAAAGCTTTCAGTACTGTTTCCCAGTCGATTTTTACCAGGCGCTATGTTTATTCCCAAGAGTTTTAAAAACAAGTCAAATCACTAAATCAACTAATTAAGTCTTAATACGAGTATTATTGCAGCTGTTACGTATCAGTTTGCGTGAAATCAATATGGTCGTTCTTACTTTACTGTTCAAATATAAATTCGCAAAAAAAAGATGTCTTCAGACCTACCTATTAAAAGCCAAAATAATTTTACTAAAAACCACAAAAACAAACGCAGCAGTCCGAAAAAAAACTTCTGCTTATTGTTTGCTGTTCAGTCTTCCAGATAAGATGAAAACTTTAAATACTAAAGGTGAGAACAAAGTTGGTCATGTTCTGTTGAACACCTAACATTTCGTAGAGCAAAAAGAGATATTATACATTTGTCTGGGTACGTCAATATCTATTCTCGAACGAAGTGTTCCAAACAATTCAACAACGATCTTAAGCAATCTTCTACCAATCCTAGAAGAAATACTATACGCTTTGAGTTCTCCTACCTTGCACCAATCCGGATAGTAGAAATTGCAGGCATAAATAAGCTTGGGACCATCTATTGGCTGACGACAAGATTAGCAGTTTGTGGTGTCGGAACATTTCGACCATTTCTCATATCGACTTCACGAGGCCCCACACAAAATTATGCACTTTACTCTCGTAGTTCGACGACTGATTCTAACAGCAATTTGTCTAACTGGAGTTTTTACTTTGCATTCACCGGTAGCATTATCCATTAGCAGAACGCCATAATAACGTGTATCCATTCGAGGACGCAAATTGCAGACGGCCTATTTTAGAATGCTGTAAACGTTTTCTTTTCAACTGTCTTTAATCCCCCTTGAACTTTAATGACTCAGAATATAGAACGGCGCAACCTAATCAATCAGCCATACGGTTGGTGAGCGGACGTTCTTTGATGTATACAAACGACTTGATCCGCGCGGTCCTCCTTGTTACAGTCTGGAAAGAAGTCTGCCAAGCGATGCCGGCCTTTGAGACGGTCAATCGACAAGGATCCGGTTGGTTTACCCTTTCCTGTACAAGGGAGAGGATGCCTCGACGAGGAGGGCAAATAGTGGAGCCTTTGTGTGCTGAAGCCCCAGAAATTTCGGCTGATGCCAGCCTTGAAGATATTTATTATATTTATGCTAATAACGTCAAAAATTGAATGAGTATTGACTTAGCTTTTCGAGAGAACCCTACGCTGAAATTTTTCCTGTAGCAGACGAATTTTAGTCCTCGGCCTTTTGTAAACAATAGAAATTAGAGAGTTTTATCTTAGACGTTTGAACAAGTTAATGAATTCGCTATGATTGATGATTTTGGAACCTTTATGGAAACTCAGGGGCTAAATTCGGCTAGAAATGCTTGCCAATTAACAGCACTGCATGACTTTGAAATTTTTTTTAATTAGGAACTCGTAATGTTCTTATTTTTCCTTAAAATACGTTCTCAGCAAACAACAAAATTATCCGATCGAAGGCGTCTGCTTAAAGACATTCACCGTATTTACCTATATCCAAAACTCGACAAATGTAGCAACTGTACGCACAAATAAGGCTCATGTTGTATACGTTACGATATGGGCCCGCCACTTAAACTTCTCTGCATAGCACTAAATAATTGGGTTCAATATTTCAATTGCTAGAGAGGTATGTATTTCTCCTGGACCATCATTTGTCTATGGTCGCACAAACTTTGAACGAATCTCTAGGAACAAGAACTTGACAATTGTTGTCCTTGACCATGAAGAAATGCATTTTCGCAACTGTGTCATACATAGAGGCTCAAACAAAGTTCGAGGTTTTTAAAAATTGAGAAAATGTAGGCGCAATTTTTCTCTCAAAAATAATTAGCTTTCAAGCAAACTACCCATAAATTTCTATTATGTTGCGGTTGTCGTATCTTCAGAATTAGTTCCCAGCTCGTACACTAAATATAATTTAGCGTACATTAAGGACTTGAGTGAAATATTGAAAAGGGCCATGACTGCGAACATGACTAACTGACTAATTATCCAGCGCTAATAGAAGCAGTCGCGAAAGACAGAAGAAATGAAGATCAATCTTAACATTAAAGAAAAAAACAAGATGTATAAAAGATACAGGGTCCTTAATCGAAACAAGTGTCTTCAGATACGCACAGCCAGTGCAGGAGCGTAGGCGGCAGCCGTCATCCTATTCTCTTTAGGAGCAGTTCATAGATTATGGTAAAAAGAACTATAATACTTACATGCAGAATAATGCCGGTTTTGCAATGTCTGCCAAGCGCGCGCGTAAATAATACAATGCGCATATGGATACGAGTGAACAGACTCCATAGAACGTTGTGGCGTAGCTAGGGCCTGATTTATTCGTAGGCAGACATAACGTTCAAAATCTCTGGTTCCCACTGAGATATCTTTTTCTGGGTATAGATATTAACCTGTGCCTACAGGTTATTGAGCGCTGATGAAGTTGAGGAACTTACTTCACTGCGATCATGTTATGATTGTCATCGCGCATGAAACCACATTGAAAGATCACGGCGTCGCGTCGATAGGAATCTACACTTGTCGCAACGGCAGCGTAGATCGCGTTAGGATTTTTATGTATGCAGACGATCGCCATTTATCTGCAGTTTAAAGCTTGTGCTGGCTAAGCCTCAGACAGTAATGATGGAGGGTTAAGATAATGGGCGACATCAGCTTAGGACAGGAAACTGGAATAATAGGTAAAATAGCGGTTTACATACAACGAGCAAAAGGCCTAATGTAATCAAACGCGGGTCACCAGTTATTTCTATACTGACGTTGTAAGCGCCCAGGTTTGTTGAAACCTCTTCTGCGTTTTTGGTAGCTAAGCAGTTTTAGACGTTAGAGATAGATGCACCATTAGAAGAGTACTGAAGGTTACTAATTGAAGCTGGCAAGTTAACTGGAGTTCCCGATTTTGGTTATGCAACTAGTAGAATTATGAAGCCAGAAAAAAAAAACAACAATAAAACGTGGTAATTAAAAGCATATACTCTTTTCATCATGTTTGTTTTTACAACATTGCTCAGGAAACGAGTAAGCACAAAAACAACTAAGCATGAACATGATTTCACCTTTTTTGTCGAGTTTCTCTCTGGCTTTTTAGAAAATCAATATATTCTTACGGTCTGTATGCCATGAGATATGTGAGTGTGTATTGGATTCGTCGTGACCACTGCAATTAAAATCTGTGTTCTTATTAAATTGCCACTGTGGTTCATACTGTACGGGAACTTCTACTTGCTCAACTTCCTGAGCATAGTACTGTGTTGCGCCCTTGAAGTTAATTGTTCACCTTGGAGCAACTACATTACTACATAACAGCAAGTTAAACGACTTAAAGGATTTTCCGACAGATGAGGAAAACCAACAATTGGAAGCAACGTTGGTGGAAGTTTGACGTATATCTTACACAAACCTCTACGATGTTTTCAACAATTTAATTTCTATTTACTTATGGTCTAGTTGTGCCGATCTATCGAACAGATACTATACCTATCGTAACTATGGCCATACACAGATTTCACAGGCTTTGTATTCCGTGCTACAGTTTTTCCTAGCGGCTGGAAATACCGATACTTCGGGTACCTCAAAAAGTACAAACCTCTGTACGTGCAATCTTTTAGCGACCCCCGGGTATTGCGTGTGCAGATAACGAACACGACGCGGTCATAGATCATCTTCCTCACAGCCAATTCTCGTAGACCGATATCCCATAAAAGACTCAATACCAAAATTGTAAGTTTTCAATGCTTATGATATAGCTTCATACTTCAACCATGTCATTGACTCTGCGCCCTACGCCCGCATCGGCCACAGTACCGGAGTGGCTTTCCCGACGCCTAAGCGAAGTTTTAGGTTTTCGGCAAGAAGCACCGTTTTGCATCTGCTTTACATACCACATGTTTTTCTGTAGGTGGAAGGGTAATAAATAATAACACGCAAGTATGATATTATCATAAAGGCATCCGAAATTCTCCGTTAATTATATGCATATATGGGATACGTTAGCTTGAATGCTGGAAATAATCTCTATTTATTTAATTCATAATAAAGCCGTGCAATACTTATTTTCGTGTAAAAGCAATTCGTCGTTTATTATCAAGCGTCAATTGTCTAGATCCCTGCTACGCAAAACGCCAGCAGCGTTTTGTCAGGTTCAAAGGTGTGCACACGTAAATAGAGCTACTACAAGTAACTGTCAGAAGACAGATGAAAAAGGGTCGACTAGAGTTATTTTCGTTGAGCAAAGGTTTTCTATTGATGGGTAGCATCCCAAGGAGCAACTACCACCTATGGCTCGAGGATCTTCCGCAAGAATTGAAAAGGTATGACCCCTTCCTTGAAAAGATTATTCTGACAATCGCTGCCATAGTCACTGTTCCTGCTATACTAACAAATAGGTGACAGAAAATTTCTATGCAATAACTGAATCAAAACATTTCACAGTACTTGTTATGAAAAGCTAGTTTGATCCGAGAACCACATTGTCTCATGGATGTACTGAAAATTTCAACAACAACAACAACATTTTACAGCCTCCCGTATACAAGATGAGAAGTGACGTAGAAATAATAGTATCACAAATGCCCGAGACCAGGGTATCTCGAGAAGCTTGAAAACACTTGAAAAAAAACTCCAGGCCAAGTAAGGCCAGAAATTTTCTTTCCGACGGCTAAATAAACGCGGTTGCAAAGCTCATCATTATTACGTTATTGGTTTTCCCAAAAAAAAAATACAACTAATTCGCTATATGTTTTACTATTATTATTTCGATTTATTGAAATCATTTACTTCTTAAACTCGACTTGGACGAAGTAAAACGAAGCCAACCAATGTTATGGACCACGATATGTAGTCGAATCCTAACATTATAAAGAGTGTGAAAATTTAATAAATCATTTTTATGACGTACGGCGTCTCATGCTAAAGCCCGCTAGCATAAAATGTCCGATTTGCAATGATGCAACAGTTCACCTTGCGATTGAAGTGAGCCATATTATTTCCTAGGATGCAATACATAACTGTCCGCTATAGGTTTACCTAATTGAAGATCATGTACTTCTGTTATTCGCTTTCGATGTCGAGGGTCAAGACGCCTTCAAGCTAGTCAAAGATGTAGAAACAAAACCCTTTTGAAAGAACGTTGAGCCACGATCGACATGTTTCCTAAGTTGTGGAGCATAGATGATAATAACATTAATAATATATAAATATCAGTGACATCGAAACAATACTTTCTAGACGAAGAGTATAGTTGTTTATTAAGTACGACTACAGTTATGGCAACGAAACACAACTGATTCACTATGAAAGGAACGAGAAAACAGATTCTCATTTATCAACGTGTGCCCGTAGTTATTTCCAGCTATCTTACGTGAGCATAGAAAGACGTTCTCAATCGAAGACCAAGCGAAAATTACTTCTAAAGCCGTTCTTTCAAAATTCGACCGAAACTAGATCTCCCGCCAACGTCTTCTAGCCTTCAAGTCTCCTGTAAAGCTTGCGGACGACAAAAGTTCCTATCGAGCGTGGATATCGGTCTCGAACTGGTTGCTGGTAAAGCTGGTAGATGGAAAGTAAATCCGTTGAAACGTCACTCAATGACGAAAAAAACAAAACAAAGTACTGAGGGATAGAATAGAAGATTTTCCGTCGGCCTCCATCGAGTTGGAAAACTGGACACGTCCAAATGGAGAAATTTGTTCTCATCAAGATCGCTTGCTGCGTTCGGCTAACTGCGCTATTGACATCGATGTAGTGGCAGATGTCTCCCACCGATTTCGTCGCCGTTGTTGTTTCCTGTGGTGCTTTCGTTAGCGATTTCCTAGAGGTTGTCACTCATTTCGTCCTATTGATGTCATAATTTGTGGCTACAATTTCACGGACGATGGGGCATCTACGGAGATTCTAACAAGAGACGGGATGACTTACCCGTTGTAGGCCACGATTTTTTGCCCGCTTCGTCTCTCAGCTGAGCTTTGAATCGCTGTTGGGCAGTGTTCGGATAGCGTTCTACGGGAGCACTGATTCACCGATGTTGTAGGCACGAGACAACCAGACCCACTTTGTATCGTCGAGCAGCTCGCGTTT